AGTGGAGGATGTTGTCCGGGTTTCTGTCCATATAAAAAGGCCTGTGTGCCTTTTCTTGTTGTTCAGGTGTTGTTAGAAGAATAAAGAGCTGTTAACATGGCCATGTGTCTTCATCATTTGCATGTGAACGAAGTACTTAATACTGGCGATGAAGGTGGGATCCTTTGCAAGCTGAAGAAAAAGCTTTAAGGACTTACCCAGGAAGTCCTGAAGAGGGGAAGACAGCATCTGAATCAGCGTCCCAGCCTGCCAGTATAGCGTCGCTGGAGGGTGAGCTCGGCTAAAGGACCCTTTCCTCCAAAGCAGTTGCAGAGGAGCGAGTGGTGAAGGTCATAATAGTAAGATGGCAAAGATTGGCCGTTTGTCTGATTTTGATGTCTCACACCCAGAGAAATGAAATTCCTACGTTGCAAGAGTGGAGAATTACTGCAGAGTAAATCAAATTAGAGAAGATGACTTGAAGGCTGCAACTCTTTTGTGTGTCTGTGGACAGGAAACTTTTGAAATCGCTGAGAATCTGGTGGCCCCTGCACCTCTGGAGTCAGTAACATATTCTAACTTGAAGAAAACGTTAAAGGAACACTTCCAGCCAAAGTTATCTGTTATTGCTTGGAGGCACGCATTCGAGCAGAGAGACCAGAGGCCGGGTGAATCTGCTGCAGATTTTATTGCAGCCTTAAGGCAAGCAGCCAGACCTTGTGAGTTCAAGGATCTGGAAGAGAGGCTGCGAGATCGCTTCATATGCGATTTAAGGAACAGAGACTTACAACAGAAGATTTTTGCAAAAGAAGATGTCTCTTTCCAAGACGCGCTATGAGAGGTGACAGCTGAGGAAGCAGCAGGCAGGGCTGTGAAGACCTTACAGCTCACCAAGAATCCTCCAGACACAGCCACCGTCCATCAAAAGGACGCTTGAGAAGGAACGGAAGTGGATCCCAAAGAAGAGGTGGATAGGCTTCAACAGCCAGCTGAAAGGAGGCAGAAGGAACGTCCGGACAAGGCCTCAGTATCTCTTCAATGATTTGGGTGCAGAGGATGCCACAAGCGAGCTGACTGCAGGTTCCGCTCCGCCATTTGCAGAGCGTGTGGCAAGCAAGGCCACATCGCATCCATTTGTTTGGGTTGCCAGAAGGTCCAACCTCGTGAAGAATTGCATCTGAAAGGTACCAGGGTCCCCAGCCAACATAGGGTGGGTTTCTGCGCATCACGCAGGTGTATTTTGAGGACAGGGACACATAAGCCCCTTAAGAAGAAACTGTCCATTAGCGTAAGGTTGCAAAGGGTTCCCTTATCAATGGAGTTGGACAATGGGGCCGCTCTCTCCATTATTTCTATTAACACATTCAAAAGGATATGCAGCAGCAGGTTTTCAGAATTCTATGGTGTGTGTTAAGGGGGAGGCATAAGGATTGGTGGTTGTTGGGGGTGAATATACGAGTCTTATTGGACTCGATTGGTTCGAGCTCTGGGAATCCAGGTAACTGGCTGCACCATTTGCAAATGTTAAGCCTTGCAGAAGTCTGCAAGGAGTTTGCAGATGTGTTTAGTTCAGAGCTAGGATCATACAAGGGCCTCCAATTTCGCTACAGTTAGACCCAACCATCATGCCCATCAGGGTTAAGCCTAGGAGGGTACCTTTTGCCTTCAAAGCCAAGATTGATGCTGAGCTGGACAAATTGCTCCAGCAGGGCATTCTAGAACCTGTGGATTCAGGTCCATGGGAAACCCGCATTGTAACGCCTCTAAAGGCTAATGGGGTCATACGTATATGTGCAGACTACAAGTGTACACTGAATAAGGCCCTGCAACAGTACGCTTATCTAGTGCCTGTGGTAAGTCACATTCTGGCCTCCCTCAAGGGGGGGTGTATTTTTGCGAAGCTTGACCTGGCACAGGCCTATCAACAGCTACCTGTTGATGAGGCAGCTGCAGAGGCCCAGACTATTGTAACTCACAGGGGGACCTTCAAGGTCAAGAGATTGCAATTTGGGGTAAATGTAGTCCCTGGCCTATTCCAAAGTGTCATAGAAAGCACACTTCGAGGTATTCCTGAGGTCTGTCCCTACTTTGATGATGTCCTCATTGCTGGGGAGTCATCCCAAAATTTAGCAGAGAGATTAAGGGCTGTCTTGCTCCCTTTTCGAAAAGCAGGCCTTAAACTAAAGAAGGATAAATGTAAGATAGGAGTCACTTCTACTGACTTCCTAGGATTCAGGATAGATGCTCAAGGCATTCACCCTGCTGAGGCTAAATTGCAAGCTATCCAGCAGGTCCCAAGCCCTAAGTCTAAGGGTGAGCTGCAAGCCTTCTCAGGGCTATTACATTTTTACCATGCATTTCTCCCACATAAAGCTGCAGTGGCAGAGCCATTACACAGGCTCTTAGACAAGCAGGCTCCTTGGCAGTGGACTAAAGTCCATGACAAGAGTTTCAATGAGGTTAAGGCCTTGCTTACTTCTAATGCTGTTTTAGCACATTTCAATGAGCAACTGCATGTTTGCATTGCATGTGATGCATCTCCTTATGGGGTGGGAGCTCTACTTAGCCATTTGAAGGCTGATGGGCATCACAGGTTAACAAATTTCCTTCTTGCACACTGCACCACACCATGCACTGCCACAGGGAAGACCCCTGCTGAACTCCGCTGGGGTCGCCGCCTCATCACTAAACTGGACAGGTTGCACCCTGACTGGGTAACTTCACAGGTGTCACAACCGTGGGCACCTAGGAGACTCCACGTGGGTGATCCGGTCTGGGCCTGGTCATCTCTGGGTCACAGCTGTGGTCTGCAAGATCTCTGGGCTGTTGTCATACGAAGTTGCCTTGGGAGATGGCCGCGTTCTTCGCAGACACATAGACCAATTGCATAGGAGACTGGACTCTCACCCTTCCGCTCCTGGCTCTGCTCTGGGGGGGGGGGAGGACCATAACATGCATTCTGGGTATCAGTTTTACAGGCCTAACAGGCCATCACTAGCTGCTACTGCGGCTGTTTGGGATTCATTCCAAGGTTCCACAAAAGCTCCTAACAGGAATTCACAGGATAGGGAGTCATCCCACACATCCATAATCACTCCAGACAGGGAGTCATACTGGGGATATCCACAGTATTCATATATGTCAGATAGTGCTCCAGACAGGGAGACTGACTGGGGTATCCACACAAATCACAAGAGCAAGAGAAAAATAATTCCATCAGGGGCGCTTGCCAAATTCCGCAATTGCTCCCAAAAGGTCACCAGCAAGGAGGGTTGCCATGGAGGCGACTCCTGACTCTGGCACCTTGGACACGGGCTTAGGGGCCACTGAGTATTGGGGCACTTCTGCTACCCAGTCCTCTCCATCTGCTGGCCTTGGGCCTCGAAGGACAGTGTTCCTAAGACGGGTCCATTGTGGACTCAGGGAATTCCACCCCTCCATGGTATGCTGGCTTGGACTTAGAGGATCCAGCCAGCCAGCAGCGGGGCAGGCCAGCTGGGTATTTGGGGCAGCCAAGTCCTGGCCTGCCTCGCCTGGTAGGCGAGCAGGTAGGCCAGGCACCTCATCGGGGGTCACCTGGGAATTTAGGGCAGCAACGCCTGGCCTGCCTAGCCTCGTAGGCAAGCAGGTGGGCCAGGCAATCTCTCCGGCCCTTAAAAGGTCGCAGCAGGCTAAGTGCCCACCCAAATATCTGAGAGACTTTGTGAAGTTGCTGTCAAATCATGAGAGTCCTGCTCATGAAGCCCCTGAATAACGGGTAGATTATTTTGTATTATTTTTTGATTTCAGATACATTTATTGCATGAACAAAGTTGAAGGAGTTTTGCCTGAGGGCAGGCTCAAGTATTCCACATTCCTTGCATTTGATTAATGAAACTATATAACACTCTTGCAATGTATGACGTACATGTGTGTGCACAGGTATGTTCCATCGGGGGGGGGGGGCATGTTGTGTCCTGAGCCTGCAAAAGCAGGCTCGGGATGTTGCATTGGTCCCAGGCATTCCAAAAGCTGCCCGGGACCAGACAGAGCAGCACCAGCCTTGTGCGCATGCGCAAGGTGCGAAAACGCTCTATTCTAGTGGAGGATGTTGTCTGGTTTCTGGCTATATAAAAAGGCCTGTGTGCCTTTTCTTGTTGTTCGGGTGTTGTTAGAAGAAGAATAAAGAGCTGTTAACATTGCCATGTGTCTTCATCATTCGCATGCAAACAAAGTACTTAACACATACCTATGTGCATCCAGAAAGGGGTGGCATGGGGCTGTTGACTGACCTTTCAGCCAAATGAAAAACAGCAGTAAAAAGAGTGCAGTGCAGTTTCATTCTGACAATGATGTCCTCCCATGTTTTGAAGAGACTGCAAATTCTTCAAACTATAATCAGAGTGATCCTGCTGAGTTCTCTGTCAGATGCCACAGTGGATATAATCTAGCACCTGCTTAGAACAAAACTGGCAAGTGAGGCTAGATGCCCACAGAATGAAAAGGGAGGGCAATTGCAATGTGAGGAGGGATGTCTGAGAAGATCAATAGCAAAGATTCTTTCCTTTTCTCTCAGCATGGGAGCCTTAGTTGTAATGACAGAGCCACACGGCTTTATTGTTCTTCTCTGCACCACCCTATTCTATGTGTACACACTAACAGTCTCAAAGAATGAAATTATGCATGCAGATTTTAAACATGAGTCCTCTCCTTCTTTTCCTAGCCCTGCAGAAAATTCATTTTGATGACAACTCTCTTTTTTAATTTCTCAATTATGAACAGCTTTAGCCATAGTGAGTTTGTTGAAGGTACTGTCTGTTTTATTTTTTTTTTTTAGTGCAGTGATAAAAAAATGCCCTTCATATTGTAGATACACACTACTGGGAGCAGCGACAGCCTTTGATTATAGTGTGTTGATAATGTAACTATGAGCAGCAAGTGTTCTCCAGGTGTGTTGGACTACAATCAGCATGTTGGGGAGAGGTGATAAGATTTGCAACCCCAATCTGTCTGGCAGAAGCCAGAAAAAGTTGAAAATAAACTTTTTGATGTGCCTTTTCCCTTTTTATTTTGTTTTAAGGCTGCGAGCAACAGCAACAAAACACTTGACAGATTATGACTACAATCACACACAAAATAAACTCAGATTCTTTAAACCATTATTTATTTTTTAAAATATATTTCTATTTATGCATCCTATTTGTATGGCTGCCAGTTTCATAAAAAATAAAGCTCTGAAAATAGACCATAATGTTCTGATTTGCGCACCTATCCATTTAAATCAAAATCAAATTAACCTCACTATGTCTTGGTGAGATGTACAAATCTAGCCAATTACTTTGTAAGACATAATATTTTCTGGCCACAAAAAAGGCATAAACTGAATTGCTAGAGAACATGCTGGAATGGAAGATGGCTTGGCAACTTCACCAGTGTGGCTTCTGATTAAAAAGGTATTTTGTAATTGACTGTATTCACCAGAGGAACCATTTTGACCTGTACTCCAATTCCAAATATGCCCAATATCAAATAAAGTTAGGGATCCATCTCTTATTTATTTGCTTGCTAAATTTATTTGTTAAATTTATTCGCTGCCTTTCTCACTGTGGGGTTACTCTTAGATATTAATGTCCTGATTTCTATTGAGTAAGTAATCAGCTCAAGAATGAAACCTTTATTGTATAACATATAATTCAATGCATTCTGCAGTAGTCTTTCTTTCTTGATATTACACTTCATTTTGGATGAAAAAGTCAAATAATTTTTTGCTTGTAATATTGATATCCTAAATTATAACTAATATTGATAGAATTTTGTTTTTATTTCCAATATTGTAAGTTATTCAAACAACTGTCAATAATTTTAATTAATATTGTATAAATACCATTGTATCAAAATGAGGATACAACCTCACAACAATATAATAAAAAGGTAGGATTCTTGCTTATTTTATGAAGGGAGAAGAACATGCCTCAAAATAAAAGGATTAATATTCGCAATAGTCTTGCATAACCTGTTGCCCCCTCAGCATCTTTGACTACAAGTCCTATAACATTAATTCAATATGGTAATGGTAATATGGAACATAAGCAGCTACCAGGTGGAGAAAACTAATAATTCTCTTTAGAATATTTCCAACACTCTGGACTTTTTTTCTCTTTCCTTAGAAGTATTTTCCTTAGTTCTTCCTTTTCACTTGTTGTGCTTCTGTAAACTGCTAGGAATGAAATATTCTGTTATCTGTGCTCAAAGTTCAGAAATGATGTGCATCTATTTGAATTCATATCCTTTGTAGGAAATATTAGCTCTGCTTCTTGCTAATGCTGTCACAGAAATCTTGATTTTAACTTCTCCCATGGGAATAGAATCCTAACACTTTTAAATTAAATTATCTGAAAATGTATATCACATTTCTTAATATATTACTCCTTCTGGCTCTAAAAGCAAATACCTTTTTAGAATTGCTGGAATTAAAAGTAAAGGGATTCCTTTGTGACATTGATAGAGCAATATTCTTCGAATAGCACATCTGGCTAAATGTTTTAGTGATCGTGGTGTATTTGCACATGCCTCAAAAAGGGATTCGTAGAAAGTTCTGTATGTCTGCAAAGACAAAACAAAATATGTTTGGAGTTAATATCTGTCCTCCATGCACAAAAGCATTGGAAGAAAATGTTCCAGGCTTTGCCATTATCTATTGCAGCTACCTTTTAGTAACTGTAAGCAATATTGCTGGAGCCAAATATTTTTAATTTCTAGACTATCTCTCTATTTAAATATATTATTTTCTTTTCACTGAATGTGATGCCTCCCAATTCAGCAAAATAGATCTGCCCAAGAACAAATATAGCTTTAGATACAACTGAACACACCTGTGAATTTAATACTGATAGCACCGCTATTCCACTCCCTCGTTCTATTTTGCCTAAACTTTTGATTTTAATACATCTGCCTGGCAGTTTTCATTAAACTTTTGTTTGGCCTCTTTATTTTTTAACATTGACTGAATAAGAGGAGGAAGGATTTTCAAAATGGCTACTCACATAGGGAGACAAGGATGATGGAAGAAGATGGGCTGAATAAGTTTGCTTTCACATATCTAAGTTCTGCTGGACCCTAGAAAAACAACTGAGTGGTTTTAGATCAACTATATTTTTTTTGGCTGTCTAGCTGACATGTTCACTTGGCAAGGATCAAATTATAGGAGAGAGTACAATGTATATTGTTTTGAGTTCCTGGAGTTTAAAAAATAAAAATAAATAAAATAAATTGCATAGAACCCTACTTTTATTTCAGGTTGCCAATATTTGTCTCCTGCTAAATATTCCTTTTAACAAAGATACTAACAAGATCATACATTATATTTTCTTTAATGATCAGTTTTACTTATCTCGGGTTCAAAGCTAAAAGCATGGAAACTGAACCACTCTGGCTAGCTTTATACATCATACTAAGTTAAAATAATAATTAAAAAAAACATTATGGCCTAATGCAATGAATGACTTCACTACCCTAATATAGTTGTGTATTTTTAAACTACTTACCTCAAAGATATCATCAGGTATAGCTGTTCTCCATTTTGTTGTGCACCTGATATGCTCATATGTATTCACAATAACCTCAACTGCTCTGGGATAGGAATAACAAGCTTGCAGTACCTATAAGCAGAAACATATCACTACCCAATAGATGTCACTGTTCTCCCGAAAGCCATTTTGTGGCCTATGGGAGCATCTGTAAATGTGAGGTCAAAAAAACTGAGATGGTCACCATGATCTTGTAACTGAAGCTTTAAATCTACACTGATAAGTAGTGAGTCTTGATTACCTGGTCAAGGCCATCATGGACCTTTTGTCCGCCATCTGGCCCCAAATCTAATCTTTTAAAAATACCAACTGGTAGGATCATTCCAACCTTAAACAATAGCTCTTTTATGGGAAAGATACTAGTATGTTCCAGTTCCTGTATAGCAAACTAGCTGAATGATTTCTCCATTGATGTTATGTCTCTTTGTACAGGTAGTCCTCGACTTATGACTACAATTGAGCCCAAACTTTCTGTTGCTAAGTGAAACATCTGTTAAGTGAATTTTGCCCCATTTTATGACCTTGCTTGCCACAGTTGCTAAGTGAATCACTGCAGTTGTTAAGTTAGTAGTAACACGGTTTTTCAGTGAATCTGGTTTCCCCATTGACTTTGCTTGCCAGGAGGTTGCAGAAACTGATCACATGACCACCAAGGGACTGCAAACGTCATAAATATGGGTCAGTTGCCTAGCCATCTGAATTTTGATCATGTGGCCATGGGGATATTGCAATAGTCATAAGTGTGAAAAATGGTCATAAGTCACTTTTTTCAGAAGTGTTGTAACTTTGAATGGTCACTAAGTGAACTGTTGTAAGTCAAGGATTACCTGTATTCTGAGAACCACAGATCTTACACCTGGTATAGAATTTAGCACACCCAAGGGAATTTTTCCACTGCTCTTTAATTTTATATTGCAGCTTCGGTTCCTGATTATTAAGAAGAAACACTTGTTGTGGCAAATAGTCCCAATACCAGGAATCTGGTATACTGTATCTACACCTTTCTTCATACTTCTGTGTGCAAAATGTAGATTCGTGTACACATATGTGTACAGAGTAGTCATGAGTAATATTCAAATTATGGAAAATTGTTAGAAAAGGATGGATTCTTCAGATTCTTTCACTGAATGCCATTCTGACTGATATTTCAATTAAGATGTTGAACTGGGCTTAGGAGATTCAAGTTACTGCTAAACTTCCTTTAACTCCTAGCCCCTCAGGCCAGTTTTCTCTTATAAGTGCCATGCATTTCTTGCATGTAGAAAATACATCTGTATATAATCCATATATAAATTGTTAGCAGAAAACCTTAGAAAGATAGCAATGGAGTAAGTAATGAAAGATGTGTCATTGCTGTCTTTCGATGTATATTTTTAAGTGTAATGAAACCATTATGGTTATATTATGGAATTCTCATTCTATAATAAAACAGGTGAAAGTTTCTTAAAGTCTCTTATTTAACCCATGTATGTTTGTTTCCCGGGATGCATGTTTAAGAGGAAAAAAGACATTTCTGACACCTTAGCCATTGTAAGTTTTTTTTTTCTGCTACAGTGCCTGGCCTGCATTCTGATTTAGAAATAATAACTATTGACCTCTTATCTGACTTTACAGGATCCACATGACAGACATCTTATGAGACCTTACAATATCATATTCCAAACCAAGGAAACATCTCTAGGATTCTGTTGCTCTGCAATCAGTTATTTAAACTGAATTGGACACGTTTTAAAAGATAAACCTCCATCCCATCCTGTACATGTATTCCTCTACATTAGAGGTGGGGAACGAAGACCCCTTTATGACTTGTGGACTTCAACTCCCACAAGCAACTCCCATGGCTGGCTCAGGAATTCAAGTCATAAAAGGGCCATTGTCCCCCACCCCTGCTCTACATAATACACTACACACCATCTTCCTTTTTTTACCTTATGGAATTGTGGTGGATATATCCTGGCAGCTCCGTGATTCAGAAGCAGCTGATAACAGATGTCAGGCTGAGCACTAGGACGTACATCTGTCACTTTCAGGACATATTGCAGGGGGGCACACCCATTATCATCCATCAGGTTGGCTTCAGCACCTGCCTCAAGCAACATGTTCAGTAGTACATGGTCACAATTCCAGGCTGCCTTGTGGAGAGGGGTCCTGAAATCTTCATCCCGTGAATTAACATCAGCTTTGTAGTCGAGGAGCATCCGGCAGATGAGGTGGTGATCTGTGCTGTAGGTTTGTTCCTTGCCATTAAGGGCCCAGTAAACTGCACAGGACAATGGTGTTTCTCGATGGGCGTTTACACCATCAACTACAGCTCCTTGTTCCACGTAGAAGGCAACCATTTCAGGGATGCCACAACGAGCAACGGTATGAAGGGGCATTTCTTCATCTTGATTGTTTGATCTTATATTTACATCTGCACCTATTTGAATATAAATCACAAAGAAAAGGGGAGAAATGGGATGGGATGGCACAGTGTCGATACTACTACAGCAACAAAAATAAATTATCATGAATATATAAAAACCTCAGCAAAACCTCAGAGATGCTGAAAACTCTTAAGAGTAAAATTATGTGATTTTTTAAAAAAAAATCAAGTAGCTTTTCATTTAAAAAGTCACTTCTTTTAATAAGGAGATTCAAGGAAATGCCTCTGAATATAGCACTAAAATCTAATTAGATATGAGTATGGGAAGATGAATTATCTTAAGGAATATGGACATTCAGAACTTTCAAACTTAATCCAAACTGTTTTGGATTTAGAAATCTATAGACTGACAATTTTGCAGATGCAAAAATCATTGGCATGATATGTTTTTCTCTTCCAGCTACTAGCTAACTATCCTGTTACCACATTTGAGCCTGCTAGCATTTCTGAATATTTTTAAAAGTGGATGGTTTGTTTGTATGGCAAACAAAAGTAACCTGAAAGAAATGGATAATGTCAAGCAATGCCCTGACCTCCCTCTCATAGTGACTGGAGGCTGGTAAGGCTGGATCAGGAAAAACAGGCTGAAACTATATCCTGGCAAGACAGAATATCTCTGGGTTTGGGGTTATTTGGTGCAGGGAGAATTGCCGTCTCTAGTCTTGGCTGGGATGGTACTGCCCCAGAAAGACCCAGTGTGTAATCTGGGTGTTCCAATAAAGAAGAATATTTGGGGGTCAGGGTTGAAATAAGGGATCTTGGTGCTCTCTGAGCTTGATGGTTTTCTCACAGATGTTTCATTGCCCAAACTAGATAAGTGTTCTGATGATATTATCAAGTTTGGATGATGAAATGTCTGTGAGAAAACAATCTAGCTCATAGAGCACTAAAGACCCCCCCCCCAAAATCTGGGGGTTCTTCTGGTTTCACAACTCCTGTTCAAGGAGCAGGTAGCAGTCATGGCCTGAAGGGTTTTACTCAATTGCAAACTGTGCACTAGCTATGCTCTTTCCTGCTCACAATCATTCATACCTTAGTCGCCTTCCGACTTGATTACTGCAATGTACTCTACATGGGGCTGGTCTTGAAAAGTATCCAGAAGCTCCAATAAGCTTAAAATGCTGCGGCCCACAGGTTTTTGAGCAGGCTCAGATGTGCACAGATAATCTCTGCTCAAAAGCTGCAGTGGTCGTTGATTTGCGTCCAGGTACAATTCAAAGTGCTGGTTGTCACCTTTAAAATCCTACATGGCTTGGAGCCAGTTTATTTGAAGGACTATATTTTTCTGGTCACATCTACCCAACCCATCAGAGTATGGATGCAAAGAATGTTGCTGGTCATCTCACCTAAGGAGGTACATCTGGCAGGACCCCGAAGAAAGACCTTCTCTGTGGTGGATCCCCTTCTTTAGAACATCATATCTGTAGAGATTAGATCGACTTCCAAAAGTGTGCAAAGCTCTAAAGACCTGGTTTTGCCAAAAGGCCTGGGGAACCCATCAAGTGACTTATTTGATTGGCTGTTGTTGCCACAGGGGTAGGAGTTATTGCTTTTTATTGTTTGTCTATTGGGTTTTATTTTTGTAAATAAATTACTGAGAGTGAGAGAGAGGATATGTACATTTTCTTAAATAAATAAATGTACTATAAGTCATATGGAATCTCCTACAAGAACTTTCTTTTAGTGGCTTTTTCCACTGAAGTAACAGTCCCATCAAGTGGACAATCCAAGCCTGGGTAACAGAATTATTTCCCACCTTGTCAGCTTTGTGAAAGCTCCATTGTTATCACCTTAGTTTAGGATTACCATTGGATTGGGTCTGCAAAAATCCAAATGAGCACCATAACTGGTTTGGTGAAATGGTAAAAGCTGGGAGACCATGAGTTGTAGTCCTGACATAGGTACAGAGCTCGCTGGGTGACCTTGAGTAAAACCAGTCACTCTTTGTCAGCCTTAGAAAGAAGACAATGGCAAACCACTTCTAAAAAAAAACCTTGCCAAGAAAACTGCAGGAATTTGTTTAGCAAGTTGCCAAGAGTGAATATTGATATGGAGACAAAGAAAAGAAAAAAACCCCAAATCCAAACTTTTTGCTGCTTTCCAGTATTTTGCAGCTTTAAATTGGTATGCTGGTTGTCCAAACAGGTGGCAAAATTCAAAGGGATTTTGGGTGGTTGTCTAATGAAAGAAAGAAAGAAAAGACTGGAAGATTCCTATGAGTTCATCTCTTCCTAAAATGGGAAAATGGCATATGTTGTTAACTTTTTAATTTTCTTTTATTTCTTAACTGAATGTACTTGCATGGAAAAACAGCACCCATGGTGAAAAAAGCCCACAGCAACCCTGAGATCAGAACTTGTTATACTTCTTTAATTATTTTCTAAGCCAACGTAGAACATGATCTGGGGCAGGTCCATGCCTGAAAAACCTGAAACTACAGGAAATAAATTGTAGTTCATTTCACCATCAGGTACCCATCAACAAAGCAAATTGCATAAATGAGCAATTAATTACACAAAGGGAAAAAATACCCACTCAAAATCCAGGTTCCAAATCTAGGTTGTTCTAGTGAGCAAAATAACTTCCAAACTTGTGTGCTAAACTGCACATATAAGTTGATAAATCAATCCAACTAATATGACAGGAGTAACCAGCTATGATTTCTTTTATATGATCAGAGGGCCTAACTAAAAGGTTGTCTACATTCTACATTTACAGGATACTTCACAGATACAGTCTAATCTAATAATAATAATAGGATAAATACATTTGGCAAATGTACACAGATTGCTTGGATTTTTTTTCCTGATTATTAATAATAACAGGACAAGGGAAGAACTTTATTAACTTTATGAAAAGTAAAAACAACATCATTAATTTGTCCTCTGTCAAACTCAGTAAATACTATTTATCAGCAAGAAAATCTGTGTTAATATGTACATTAATACTTTTAAATATATTCAGTTCCCTTTTGATCTAGTAATCCATCCACTAAAGAAACTTGGATTCAAGATCATACATCAGTGGTGGCGAACCTATGGCACACGTACCAGAGGCAGCAGTCAGAGCCCTCTCTGTGGGCACGCGCACCATGCCCTGGAGATGGCAACTGTCCCTCTTCAACCAGCCACCTGCTAACTTGCCGAGGTCCCACATGACCGGATGCATTCCAGCATGGCTGGTTTCCCTTCCCCCCATCCCATCCCTCCTGGCCTCACATGCTCTCTTTTTCCTGGGCACGACCCACTGCATTGCCTCCTCAGCTGTCAGCTGGCCAGCCAGCTCAGAGGCAGCTTCTTTGAACTGCTGGGGGTGGGCTGCAGAGCTGCCGGCCAAGTGGCCAGCAGGCTTTGGCTGGTGACAGACATTGTCAGCCCCCATGTGCTCACTGGCCTCTGTGTGCGGGGGCCGATGGTGTCAGGCATAGGCTGCTCTGGCCCCTGCTTTGCCTTGCCTTACGACAATGGCACCCCTGTCCTGCCTCACCTCGCCTTGCCTTGCCTCACCCCTCAGGATGAGCCTCCTGCCCACTGCCCACCTGCCAGAGACCCCCTGGATCTCCCCCAACCCTTCCCGGCCCCCATAGGCATCCCTCCCCACGAGCAACATCGATGTGACCATACCCACCTTGGCCACACCCACCCAGTCTGTCATGATCACAGCCATGCCCATCTAGTGGGCCACACCCACCTGGCACCTGGCAATAAATAAGTGGGTTTTGGGTTGCAGTTTGGGCATTCAGTCTCTAAAAGTTTCACCATCACTGTCATACATTCTCCTGATAGCATGATAAGTATTTTTTTTCTTCTAATCTATTTTTTTATCACAGGTTTGGGGAAGATATTACATTTTGTATTCTAATCTTTTCTTTTTTTTATTAAAAGTTTTAAAGATTTTAAACAATATATATCCCAAATCCCTCCCACCCTTCCCCACCCCTCCCCCACTTCTCAGAGCTGATTACAGGGTTACAAATAAACAATCGTAATCTAACTAACATTACCCAACTATACAAACAGTCAAATCCATAACATGCTTTAACTCCTTTTCAAAATAAATATTAACAAATTAAATACGAAAATAATATAATTAAACCATAAAACTAAGAGTAATATAAATTCTACCATATCGAACTATTAATAATAATAATCTAAAATTTACTCATAAGCTAAATAATACTTTTTAGTCTCATATTTCTTCTGAATATAATCTATCTATTCTTTTCATTCACCTAGTGGTTTACTATTTTCTGCAACAAGCTTCAATCTATTTTATTCATTAATTTTCTTTTATTTTTTTTTTAGAATTACTTTTTAGAAATTTATTCCTGGGAAACTGATCTATAAACAACCTTGATGGAAAAATGGAAAAAACATTTCAGTCCCCTAAATCCCAGGAAGGGTGCATGGTGGCCTAGCAGTTGAGACATTGGGCTTAATGACCCAAAGGTTGGCAGTTCGAGACCCAAGCACTGCATGACGGAGTGAGCTCCCATTCTTTCCCCAGCTCCTAACATCCTAGCAGTTGGAAAACATGGAAACATAAGTAGATACGTACGTATCACTTTGGTGGGAAGGTAACAGTGTTCCATGCATTTTGGGCATATAGTCATGCTGGCCACATGACTACAGAAGCATCTTCAGATAACACTGACTCTACCTCAGCTAGGAAACAGAGATGAACACCACCCCCTAGAGTTGGACATTACTTGACGGGGGAAACCTTTACTTTTAAGTCTCAGGAAACTCTCAAAGTAACTGAAAATTGACAAGTTAATTCTATGTCTGATGATCTGAAGAAGTGAAGATAATTTCTTCATTTTCAGTATCATTCTATTTATGCAGCTTGTTTTCTTAGTTTTACTTTTGCTTAGCATTTCACATACCTGCAGAGAATATGGAAAAATATAGACTTTTTTTATTTTATTTTTGAGCAAAATATTTTGGAGCACTTGATTCATCTCTGGTTACTGCTATCTTCTACAGTTAAATATTAACATTATCAGAACTCAACACAACAACCTTGTACAGCCTTGCAGCCACACAGGCTAGAATTGATGGAATGCAAAGTTCAAGCAATGTGGAAATCACACTTTGAGAAAGGCTAGCAGCATTAAAGTCATCTAAGTTAACCAATAATATTGAGCTGCTAGTGACAGAGAAAAAAATGGTGCCCTCCTTTCATTAAAAGATATATTAGCAACTGCCTAGCAGTCAAGTTTGTTTGAATGTTGGCAGTAGGTCACATTCAGCTAAATTGTCTGAAGACAAATGACATAGCACACCCACAGTTTTGCCTACCAACTGGAAGAGGAGTTACTACAGCTGTCCCGATTCACTTTTTATGCCAACTGAGGCAGCAGCTTCATTTTATCTTCTAATGGAGCAAAGTACATCATTAACTCATCAAATTTGCACACACCAAGCTGGCAGGAATAGCCAACACTCCAAAACAGGGGTGTCAAACTTGCCAGTCATGTGATGTGTTGTGACAAATTGTGACTTTTTTCCCATTGCCGAAGCTGGGATGGGTGCAGTTTCAGCATGACGCATCTGGTCCCATGGGCCAGCAGTTTGACACCCCTGTTTCAGAAGATAGGCTTAAGATATAGAAGAATCTTGACAGACTTGAACATTGGGCACTATCTAACAAAATGAAATTCAATGGTGAAAAAAGTAAGGTTCTACATTTAGGCAAGAAAAACCAAATATACAGGTATAGTATAGGGCAGTGATGGCGAACCTTTTAGAGACCGAGTGACCAAAAACTGCCCCCACCCCTGCTTCACCTCCCACACTACCTGCTCCACCCCCACCTACCTCCTGCCCCACTCACCTGCAGGGACATGCACAGAGAGTGCCGCCTCTGGCACACATGCCATAGGTTCGCCACCACTGGTATAGGGGGGTACCTTGCTCAATAATAATAACTGTGAGAAGGATCTTGGAGTCCAAGTGGACAATCACTTAAATATGAGCCAGCAGTGTGCTGCAGCTGCCAAAAAAGCCAACACAGTACTAGGCTGCATTAACAGAGGGATAGAATCAAGATCACATAAAGTATTAATACCACTTTATAATGCCTTGGTAAGGCTACACATGGAATACTGCATCCAATTTTGGTCACCACAATATAAAAAAGGTATTGAGACTCTAGAAAGAGTACAGGGAAGAGCAACAAAGATGATTAGGAGACTGAAGGCTAAAACATATAAGGAACAGTTGATGGAATGTCTAGTTTAATGAAGAGAAGGACGAGGGGTGACACGATAGCAGTGTTCCAATATCTCAGGGGTTGCCACAAAGAAAAGGGAGTCAAGCTATTCTCCAAAGTACTTGAAGGTAGGACAAGAAGCAAAAGAGAGAAGCAACCTAGAACTAAGGAGAAATTTCCTGACAATTAGAACAATTAATCAGTGGAACAACCTGCCTCCAGAAGCTGTGAATACTCCAATACTGGAAGTTTTTAAGAAGAGACTGGACAACCATTTGTCTGAAATGGTATAGATTTCCTGCCTGAGCTGGAGGTTGGACTAGAAGACCTCCAAGATCCCTTCCAACTGTATGATTATGATTGTGATTGTGATTGTGACTATGACTATGATAAACAAACATGCAATTTAATCATTGATAAATTGATTTGGAAGGATTGTATTCTTGAGGAACAGAGGTAAGGAGCCTAGTATTATGCTGCCTGAAACCCAAATCCACAGTCATGTTTTGAAAACAAATTTAAGAAGATAGCAGAACTTATTCAATGTTCCTATGCAACATTTGCTTGTATCTCCATCTTCATCCATGCAGGTCTATTCCAACAGCTTGAAACTATGGCTGTTTTTATGTAACTTACCTTTCCAAATCAATTGTTGTGCACAAGACAAGGAGATCTTTGTAGTACAATAGTGCAGGGGTGCAAACCCACTCAATGAATAGCAGTTGGTTTTTGCTCCATGGCTACAGAGTATATTGACACAATCCAGATTGGCAACTTCACATGCTATGTGGATTGCTGCTTTCCCATTGGGTCTGCAGTTGATGGTTGCTTTGTGCTTCAGCAGAACTCTCAGACTTTCCAGATGTCCGTACAGAACAGATAAATGTAGTCCTGTTGCCCAGGAATGTTGCAATTTATAACTAGGCAGCCAATAACCTGTTTCAGTTGAGAAACAAACAAAAGTGATTAAATGATAGCTTTCCAAAATCTTCATTTTACTAATTAGTACAGAAGGGATTAGCTTCTGTTGGTTGCAATATTGAATATAATTATACTCACTATGCAACTGAATATATTTTATGTGTTTATATATGTTTTCCCTTAACTAAGTTCCGTGTTATTCTGCTGCGCACAAAGAGCTCTTATGTGCATGGAGAAATCTCATTTCCTAAAACTGGAGACATACATGAGGATATCTTCATGTTCAACTATTCTTTCCCAGTGAGAAAGAATAGTATGCAAGTGAAACAGCAAGTCAGCAGAGTAGGAAGAGAAGGGCTCCATCCCAGAGAAACACAGTGATTTACTATAGAGGGGCAATATTTATTCCTCATCCCAGAAAAGACTGTATAAATACAGTACTCTGCAGCCTAGTAGTTCTGCAGAATTATAGATAAAACCTATGTAAAGAAATGAGTGCATTCATTCCTTTAAACCTGAGAAAATATTTCAGGTGGGTTGATAGTAGGAATAGGATTTTGTTTTAACTTGCACTGGAATGTGATCTTATCCAATTTTGCATTGTTGAACCAAGATCAACAACAAAACTCAATTATCTTTCAAATTGTGCATTTTGCCAACTTTTGTAGGGCAGCTAACCATAGCTTATGGGTTCCATTACGTGAGAAATATTTATACTGTACTCATTATTAATATTCAAAAATGCATTATTTTGGGGAAAATTGTTTGCAAAACCTGTGTGCACTGGAGATTATTGCAAGCAGAATATTGTAATAATCCACAAAAAATACAGGTTTTGCAAATAACTTTGGAGAAAACTTATATTAAACTACGTATAAATTTTGTTACTTTTTTAAAAATAGAAAATATTACAACAATGAAATTATTCATTGGAAGAAAAACCAAGAAACCAAAACTGATTATTAGGCAGTGAGGCAGTGGTGTAAGATATAGTGTAGCACCATCATGATGAAGAGGTAGGCTATATAATTTACTACCCTTTGGGATAACACTAGGCTTTCAATTGCCAGTCAATACAAACAAAACTAGATTGATCAGTATCTTAAAGGCTGAATTATAAGATAAAGGTAGTTCTTGACTTATGACTGTAACTGAGCCCAAAATTTCTGTTGCTAAATGAGTTTTGCCCCATTTTACTACCTCTCTTGCTATAGTTGTTAAGTGAATCACTACAGTTGTTAAATTAGTAACATGGTTGTTAAGTGAATCTGTCTTCCCCATTGGCTTTGCTTGTCAGAAGGTCACAAAAAGCAATCACATGACCCCCCAGGACCCTGCAATCATCATACATATCAGTCATTTGCCAAGCATCTGAATTTTGATCACCTGACTATGAGATGCTGCAACAGTTGTAAATGTAAAAAACAGCCATAAGTCATTTTTTTCAGTGCCTTTGTAATTTTGAATGGTCCCTAAATGAACTGTTGTAAGTCAAGGATTACCTGCACAGCACAGGCTTTAAGGTTAGATCACTGTAAGCAGACTTGTGTCACATGGTTTTCTCCTTAACTGTTAAATAATACTTTAACTGAAGTAAATAGTATGATAGAAGATCTATTATTTCAATTAAAAAAAAAAAACCTTCCTCATAAAGAGAGGCTAATTTTCTCCAACCCAACGGGATACTAGAAAAAATAATGTAATCCATCAGCAAGATACATTTCTGAAAACAGAACGATACATATTCAATATGGTAAGAGAGGCTAGTGGAAAAAGAGCTTTGAGCTAAAAATGGGCCAGATCCAACTGAATCAGGCCAAGGTAGTTGAGTAGCACTTCAGAAGGTGGGTGAGCCTCCCTTGCTTCTTATTACATCACTTAAGAGACATATGCAATCTGCTATGTTTTCCAAAGCTCATATCCTACAGTATTTTAGGAACCCTGTATATAGTATGTGTGTGTCCATATGAATAAAGGCAATACTCCATAATATATTATAAGAGTACCTTTAATTACATCTATTCTTTTTGCTTCTAGAGGGTATATGCAGCATGTTAGAGCACATTGTGTAATCATAGTGAAGTTGCTACCTTCTATTCTTGCCAGATTTTCCTTGTGTACTCTGTGAGTGTGTGTGTGCACGGGCATGCATGTGTGCGTGCACGTGCATGCCTTTGACTCCTGATGACTGCCTGAACAAATTCCCACATAGTTTTTTTGGCAAAATTTCAGAAGTGGCTTGTTATTGCTTTCTTCCTAGGGCTGAATGACTGGCCCAAGATCATCCATTTGTTTTGTGCCCACAGTGGGACTAGAATTTACAGTATCTCTGTTTCTAGCCTGATACCTTAACTATTACACCAAACTGGTTCTTGCATTTCTACCTAAACTATTTTAAATATGACCTGAAGCAAAACTATTTGACCAAAGATGGGGCACAGCAGCCAAAGCAAAGCAAGAGTGATGCAAAATTCACATTTGTTGGTCACTGATATATTTTCTAATCTTTATATATCGTACTTCTGATTTTTCTAAATATTCTTCAGGAATAGCACCAGAAAAAAGAACCTTGGGCACTCAAATTCTCTTCTGTCTTGGTGTTATCACTATTAAAATTTCCTTTGTTTGTTCAGCTTCAATTCTAATGTTTGCATTTTATGGAAGTTGTATATTGAGGGTGTCCTAAAATTTCTGGGTCCAGCCAATTTCTTCTATGCTGTGTATATACAGTCCATAGAAGTAATTTTGCTTCAAGATTAATCAGATTTGATCTGAAAATTTATTCAATACAATAAGACCCACAAAGGGCAAATACTCATAACACACAATAGCTAACGTCTTTCAATATTTTACAACTGAAACATTGCCATGGCTTTTTACCTTGTTTGTAAGAGGCCAGGAGCAAATTCTCATCTTCCACTTCAAACACCGTGTCCACATCTATTTGTTTTTGAGCCAAAAGCTCTTCCAGAGTTCTGTAGTCATTTGATTGTAAAGCCTCCAAAAAAGCTTTCTTCATTAGCTTGGCTGTTGCAGTCCGTGTAATGGTTTCTCCCATGTTTTCCTCAGGGGATTCTATCATGCTTGTTTTCAGTAGTCAAGCACTGTGTTTATAAAATGCATGAACGAGTGTTTTAAGTTACCCAAAGCATGCTAGCCTGCAAGCCCAAAGATAATTTTAACACTAAGCAATGCTGATCTGCCTGATCTATTTATGTAAAGCAAACATCAGCCACTCTCTGACATGCTTAATTTTGTCAAGTGAAACCAAAGCAGACCTATGCTGCCAGTATGAAGAAATACACTCAAGGAATTAGGTAACTATCAAAACTTTACCCATCATAAATTTGTTAAAATTAACTAAGAAAGCTCTTAAAGCAGGTATAATTTCTCAGCAAAACCAGCAACTAACCATATTAATTTCTGGAAACCTAATTTCTTAGCTTGGTTTTGACATGGGCAGTTATCATTTTCTCCATTAGGTAGCGATTCCATTGATTACGTATGTTATTTTCTTTGTCCACAATTATCCTCACTGTCCATTAGTCCATTAAGGTGGATGAAAATCAAGATGACTCAAGATTTCTGCCATCCTAAAGTGCAGAACAAAATGGTGGTCTCTTCGTTTATCTTAGTTCAACTGTAACAGCAAGATAGTAAGACAACAGAAAAAGAAACTTAATTTAATTCAGAAGGATAAGAATGTCTTCCATTGGAGAAGGCCTTCTGGTAAGAAGGATCAGTTATTGAAAAGGCTCTCTCTTCTCCATCCCCTACCTCACTTCAGTTTTGGGGACTAATCAGGGAAGAACCTTCAAACATGGTTTGAGTCTCTGAACAATTGAATATGAGAGCAGGTCTTCCTAGTTGAGCAATTCAAATCAGTAATTGTGTAGCCATCTTTTAAACAAAGTTGCATTTGTTTCCAAAATGACTTTTTGATACCTCCTGCATGACATACTGTAGCTATTTACTCTGAATTAGAATAAGGCTGTCCCTGAGTGGAAAAGTAATTGAGGTAATATATTCAATGCAAAATTATAAATGTGAAGAAATGCTATATAAATGGACATAATATGTGGAAAGATAAACTGATTGAATATATCAGGCATAATATTTCTGTAAGTGGAAACATTATGATCATAATAAAGGTGCTTCTCCATATATCTATTTTCAATCCTTCAGAGCAGCTTTGAGTGTATCGTGTGGAAGTAATCTGATGTGTAAGTGGAAATCTACTCAATACTAGAATCCAGTAACAGCAAAACATAGACTTATATTTCTGTAGATAATGATGATGATGATGACTTTATTTGTAACAGCTTATATCAAGCAATGATACCTTTAAAAAAAGAATGTCTCCCTATTTCAAGTTTTGGGAAGGACTCAAAAGGTAGATAAAAATGCCAAGTCCAGTCTAAACATCTTGCTGACCTTGCTGATCATAACTATAATCTTTCTGTGACAATTCCTTTAATGCCATGAAATAACATCTTATCCCAGATCCTTGTGAAGGACCCGACAGGTTGACAAAAAAGCTAAACCAAGTCTAAACATTTGGTTGACTGTGTAACAAACCATAATAAAGATAATAGCAACAGTAAAAACACAGCATCAAAGATATACAGAAATATGTAAACTCTGCTTTGAAATATGAAATAATAATCAGTTGTTGATTATCCCAAAATGAATTGGAATATTGGGTGTGCCATTTACTACAATGCAAGCAACTAAGCAACTTTCTGTGGAATTCTGGTTAGATTATTATTGTAGGCAGGTAAGATGGAGACTTTTCAAACATCTGTCATGTGAAAGAAGGACATTGTATTCTCTTACAATACTTTCTGATTTTGTTCAGACTCAGGTTTGTGAAACTAATCTGATAGTCCAAATGAAGCTGTTGCATAATTGGAGCTCAAATTGCAAATGGCATAGGTCATATGTTGTTTTTCCTGTCTCGCTTCTTTTTTTAAAGTCTGTCACTCAAATTACCCTCTCTAAAGTTTGTTTTTCCCTCTGCCCCCTTGACACTTTCAACATTACTGTTACCTTGGAATGTATTGCAATAAGGGGTAAATAGTACTGTAATGTTGGTATAGTTAAAGACAGTTTAAGCTTGTCTCAGTCATGGGTTAAGAATAAGTAGAAGACAACCCAAAAGTGCTTTTTGCAAAGTGCAACTAGACTTTCTTTTGGGTTTTTTTTTTCCATTGAAAGCATTTTGCTTCTCATCTAAAAAGCTTCAATAGTTTTCAAATAAAAAAAAAGTTCAGTTGCCTTTTGGAAAAAGCACCTGTGGGATAAGAATGATCTGGATGTTTTGAGAATCTCCATAGACAAAATGAACACAAAATCATGAGACATGGCTACACTCCCCACCCCCACCTGATGTTTCAAGGTTTGTTGCAAGTAGAAGAAAATCAAGTGTCTCAGTAGAACTTCAGGGTTTTTTTTATTATCATTGGCCAAATGTCCAGAGATGGAAGATCAGACTTAATATTGTTTGAGCCTCAAAAGTGTTTGCAACAAGATTCATAACCTGAGAAATGGCTTTATGGTCTATTTCCACAAGAAGCTTGGTTGAAGGAGATATGAGACTTTTTTTTTTCTGTGGTGACATCAGAGCTGTTATATTTTCTCTAGAAAACTTGGCCTTCGAGTTCTGAGAGTAACCAGTTAAAAAGAAAGTTTATATTTTATAGTTTTGGAGAACTTATTGAGAACTGCTTTAGCATTAAAGCTACCAATAACTATAACACACTGAGTTGTGAAGTGGGGCACTTCAATGCTCATCACAGGACATTTTTTACTTTAGCTTGAAAAGCGCAGGTAGATAAGGTGTATCTTCCTCCATATAATACTTGTATTTATGCACGTTTAGACACAGAGGTTGAGAGAGTAACTCATGATTATTATCACCCATGACATATGCCTTTACAAACCTGATTGTTAGAAATTTTAATTTTTCCTGTAAATCAAATATGGGCACCTAGAACAATTGCTCTTCTCTTAGCAATAGCTATACGTTCAGAAGTTATTGATACTGTACTCCTTTTAAATTACTGATTAAATATTTGTTTACCATGTACTTTTAAAATTTGCTATCTTTTATTCATTTTGGACTCTACATAAAGAAACACATACTTCAAAATTCACAAATTGACATTTAACTGAAAGCATGTGTGAATTTATAAAGATTTTTCCCTCCCCCCAAAGGAAGAGGAGATACAAAAATGTAGGATATATTAACATTCGTATAACACGAATGGTATTTGAAGACTCTTCAATACTTCGAAAGCAACTCTGGAACTCTATGAACCTATGACATTCTATTTAAGAGCTGAACTAATTTCTGGCTTAACAATAGCATATCTGAAATCCCAATTAAACTTGTATTTTATTTGAAATGTTGTACTGCAATTTTGTGAATCTTGTGGATAGATTTGAGCTGTATCCCATTTGTGGAATTCTTGCTTTATTCTGAGGATCTTTTCCTGTTTCTGATCATCCTTCAGCCATCTAGTCCTGCCTTGGGAGCTTTAAAATATCTGGATTTCAACTCCAGAATTCTTCAACCAGCATGCTGTTCCCCTTTGTGCTGGGACTTCTAGTCTGTTTTCATAGAACTGAACATATTCCCATCATCTGAAAAAAAGGACTTGAGAATTCAGTTTATTTCCATTTGGAGTCCAGTGACCATGGGGAAAGTTTTTGTGGATCAGTGATTTTTGCTCCTTATTGTTTGTACTGCTTTGAAGACAATCATTGATCATCTTCTAACTGCTGTTGATGGGATTGGAATAATATAATAGAAGTGGTAGAAGACATAAGTGTCAAATATGGCCTTGCTATTTTAATTTCTATGGAAGAAAAAAAAACTATTTATCCTTCATCTCATATAAAGTTAGTCCTCAACTTAAAATAATTAATTTAGTGACTGTTTGAAGTTACAACAGCACTGTTCATGAACATTTGGTCAAAATCTGGACATTTGGCAACTGGGGATGTATTTATGATGGATGCATTGTCCCAGGGTCAAGTGATTGATTGCCATTTTTGACCTTCTCAGCTGGCTTCTACAAGGAAAGCCAATGGGGGACCTGGAATTTGCATAACAATCTCATGATTCACTTAACTGCAATGATTCACTTAGCAATTATGGCAAAAAAGATCGTAAAATTGGGCACAATTTAACCACCTTGCTTAGCAATGGAAATTCTGACACCAACAGAATTGGAAAACTAACTGTATAGTAAAGAGCATCAGCTTTTGGAACCTTATCAAGAAAGTTAAGAGCCAGAGCATCTATGGTGTTTGAGTGTGTAAAGATGGCAGCCATGGCTGCACCATCAAAACACTGTATAGGTTGATATCCCTAGTTAGGAGAATAGCTTTCACTTTTTTCTATCCCAGTTTTTCCAGGTGCATTATACTATTCAAATGCAGAGGCTAATTTTGTCTCTTCCTCCTCTTTTACTACTTCTGATATAAGCAATAAAGCAGGGGGGTCAAACTGACGGCCCGAGGGCTGGATGTGTCATGTGCAGGCCATGCCCACCCTGGCTTCTCAAAGGCAAAAAATGTTGTGATATATCACAATATGTCACATGATGTGATTGAGTTTGACATCTATACAATAAAGCCTATAGAATGTAGTTGGTTTATTGACTGCTGGGTTCCTTTTAATCTTTATATCCCCATTCGTTGGTACAACACTGATCTTAGAAGAAAATGCATAATTCATATTCTAGTTTTAGAGGAAAAAAGATCTTGGGAAAGAGTGTTTCATCAAAGGAAGTAATTTCAATATTAAAAAAAATATTTCCTAGCTAGAATTTCATCATCTAGAGAACTTTGTCTCCATTAGTTAATTGACAGAAGTAAATATTATAGACTAGCAAAGATATTTCAACATATATTTATACTAGCTCTCACAGCTATTTTTTCTCTTTTATAATGTACGGATATGAAGGATGATTCATATTGGCAATATGATAAAGGTAAGGTTAGCATTAGGCTTCCTTGAAATCTATGATTCAATTTAGTGTGAGAAATGGCTTTAAGTCAAATGTTTTTGTAGTTTTATACTTTGGTAGGAATTATTTATTTTTTTGTCTTTAGGTTGAAATTAGAGTTAGGCTTCTTTGAAAACTGAGATAATAT